AGAATAAACAGAGCATGAGGCATTGGTCAATGAAACTCCTGGGCTCAGTTCCAAAGTCTTTGGCTTGGGGCCAGGGCGACAGGGCCGAGGGACTAACTTCTCTGCTGGAATAACACAAAAAGTATCTGTGAACTCTATATGGCTATCCATTTCTTCTCTTTCTCCTTTTTCTCTCATTTTTTTCTGATTTCTCTCTCTTCCCCCCATATCCTGCATTCATTTCTTTTTCCGTGTGTGTTTGTGCTTGTGAGTGTGTCTACAATTATTCTGCTGTGATATTTGTTTTATGTATGGATCAAACGATATTTCCAAAAATGTGGCATACATTATTAGGACTTTCTTTCTTGTCTCCTGAGAGGACTTCTTGAAGGCTAGTGCTCCCCAGGACAAAGGCAGTGATCAGTGACATCTCTACAACTTCCCCACTGCAGCTGCAGAAAGATCCCTGGGCCAACCAAGACAGTAGGACCATGTTCTCTGTTGACATGTCAGGGACAAAGACAACTCAAGTATACACACATTTTATTCAGACCAAGAGGTGCAGGTTTCTGACAGTTCAGGAGGATGAGGGCTGTGCTGCAAGTCTGCTGTTACAGTGTCTGAGGCCAGCACTGTACTCACAGCAGCTTGTCCGTGGGGCTGGAGGACCCCAGCCTCAGGTTCAGATGTTTCCTCCTCTCTCCTGCTCCCTGCTCCCAGACAGGTGACCCATTGCCTGGGGCACAGAGGTTCAGCCTTTGGCAGAACTGGCCTGTAGCCAGCCTCCTACACTTTTCTACCTGCACCCTTTTCTTGCTTCTGCCCCAGTCCAACGGCAGCTTCATCCTGGCTCTGAGGACAAGAAAAGTAAGATGCCAGGGAGGCATCAGGGAAACTAGCCCCTGCCTGGGGCCCACCCCGGTCTACATACTGTTTAGTTTCTCCTCCCTGAGGTCTTTAAAGTGTTAGTCTTAGTCTCAGGAAGAAAAAAAAAAACCAGCCAAATTCCTCTCCTCTCCTCTCGTCTCCTCATCCTTCTCTCCTTTCGTTTTCTCCCTTCTCTCCTCTTCCCTTTCTTCATCCCTGCTTCCCTCCAGATGTGTCTTTGTTTAGACCTAATGAAGACATTGGCCTCGGTTCTGAACTTTATTTACTTCAGCCTTTCTCTGGGTGGAGAGATAGGACAGCCACTCTCTCCCATTGATAACACAACAGGGTGTGAAGGCGTGGGGGGTGGACTTTAGATTATTTCTTAGGTGTTTTCCTACACATAAATAAAAATGAGGTGGTTGCAGAGACAGCTCAGCAGAGGAGAGTGCTTGCCGGCCTTGCAGAGGACCTGAGTTTGGTTACCAGCACCCATGTGAGGTGGATCTCAACCTCCTGTAACTTCAGTTCCAGCTTCTGGGGGTTCGTCACCCTTTTCTGAATTCTGTAGGTACCTCCACACATGGCATATATGCAAACATGCAGGCACACAATTTAAACTCGAGATGAGAGCTGAGGAGATGACTCAGCGGTAAAGAGCAGTGACTACTCTCCCAGAGGACCCAGGTGTAATTCTCAGCACCAACAAGGCAACTCACAACTGTCTGTTAATTACAGTTCCAGGGGACCTTACACCCTCACACAGACATACATGCAAGCAAAACACCAACGGACATAAAATACAAATAAATTTTTAAAAATTTAAAGACTTATTTCTTTGTTCTGTATGCATGTATGCCTACATGCCAGAAGAGAGCACTGGATCTCATTATGGATGGTTGTGAACCATCAAGTGGTTACTGGGAATTGAACTCAGGACCTCTGGAAGAGCAGCCACAGCTCTTAACCTCTGAGTCATCTCTCCAGCCCCAAATAGTATTTTTTCTTTTTTTTAATTAATTTGCTTTTTACATTCCAATCCCAGTTCTCCCTCCCTCCCTCCCTCCTCTCTTCCTGCTCCTCCCTGCCCCATCTGCTCCTCAGAGAGTGTAAGGTCTCCCTAGGAAATAACTAAGTCTGTCCCATCATCTCACTGAGGCAGGACCAAGGCACCTCTCCACCCCCCCCACCCCAAACACACACCCCTGTGTCTACGTTGAACAAGGTATCTCTCCATATAGAATGGGTCAAATAAATTATGTGAAAAACATTAAAACGAGTGAAAGCAGACCACAGGGGAGAGGAAGAAAACTGCCCAGGTATTCAAGAGCATTCCTTGCCCAGAAACCATGGAATGTGGTACTCACTACCCTTTGGAAAGCTGTATCCAGTGCAACATACACTGGCTCCTTCAGGAAAAGGCCTGGAAACCTTGATCAAGTTCCAGAGCATAGTCTCCTGCTTAGCTCCTGACAATGCCAGCCTGGAGCCCGTGGTCTCAGACCAGGGGCAGGAGAGTCTCTGGCTGCTGCTAACAGCCAGGGTAGCAGAGGGAAATCCCTCAAGGGAGACTTCTGTAGTGAGACCAGTTCTCAGACTCCCTTTTGAGCAACTGCATCTGCCTGCTTAACTGTCCTTTCTGCAGTGTAGACTGCAGCTACACAAGCCATCCTCCTCCCAGTCTGTGTTTGCACAGGCAGTAAGGGTGAAGTGTGCAAACATACTCAGTGTTCATGTTTGTTCCCATAAGATAGGGTCTCTCTGACCCGGAACTTGCTCTGCACACCGGACTGGCCTTGAACTGACAGATATCTCTCTGCTTCTGCCTCTGGGGTGCGCTGATTAAAAACACGTGACCCCACACCCCTATTCACTTTTTTTTTTTTTTTTTTGGTTTTTCGAGACAGGGTTTCTCTGTGTTGTTTTGGAGCCTGTCCTGGAACCTGCTCTGTAGACGAGGGGGAGTCTCGAACTCACAGAGATCTGCCTGCCTCTGCCTCCGGTGTGCTGGGATTAAAGGCATGTGCCACCAACGCCCGGCCATATTCACTTTTGATAAGATTTTTGTGTTGTGCTACTTGTTCTTGTAATACCCTTTACTATTGTTTAGAGATTTATTTAATTAAAAAATATATAGCTGGGTGTGGTAATTTGAATGTAATTGCCCCCATCATCCCATAGGGAGTGGCACTGTTAGGAGGGCGGCTTTGTTGGCCTGGCCATGGCCATGTTGCAAGGGTTGTGTCACTGTGGGGCAAGCTTTGAGTTTTCCTATGCTCAGGATACTTCCCAGTGTCTCAGTCCACTTCCTATTGTTGTCTGACTAAGATATAGCCAAGCACCATATCTGCCTGCACACTGCCTTCCTGCTGCCTGCCATAAGGGGCTGAACCTCTCTCTAAACTGTAAATGAGCCACCCCAAACAAATGTTTTCTTTAGGAGAGCTGCTGTTGTGGTCATGGTGCCTCTACACAGCAATAGAAACCCTAACAAAATTACTGGGAATCGTGGTACAACGATTAAGTCCCAGCAAGTGGAATGCAAAGGCAAGCAGATCTCAGTGAGTTCAAGGCTAGGCCAGTGTATAAATTGAGTTCCAGGACAGCCAGAGAAAAATCCTATACCCATTTATGAGTCTGGATAGATGGTTCAGCTGTTTAGAGCAATTTTTTGCTCCTGGGAAGGACCTGGGTCCAATTTCTAGCACCACCATTGTGGCTCATAACCATCTGTAACTCCAGTTCCAAGACATCTGACACCCTCTTCTGACCTCCATGGTTACCAGGCAAAAATATGGTGTACAAATACATACAGGCAAAACATACATACACATAAAAAATTAAAACATTTTAAAAGTATTTTTTCTTTTCTTTCATTTTTTTTTTCAAGACGGAGTTTCTTGTGTAGCCCTGAATATCCAGGAATTTATTCTGTGGACAAGGCTGGCGTCAAACTCATATCCTTCTGCCTCTGCCTCCCGAGGGATGGGATTAAAGGCGTGTGCCACCACCGCCCGGCTTGTTTAGTTTAGTTTTGTTTTGTTTTGGAGACAGGGTTTCTCTGTATTGTTTTGGAGGTTGTCCTGGAACTCGCTCTGTAGACCAGGCTGGCCTCAACCTCACAGAGATCCGTCTGCCTCTGCCTCCCGAGTGCTGGGGTTAAAGGTGTGTGCCACCAATGCCAGGCCCCTCTTCTGTTATTTTGACTCTTCTTGATTAAATAAGTCCAAGTTTGTGCTACAGACATAGGACTGTATCTGTCTGTAGGTGAGTTCAGACACTTGGTGACTTTGGATGAATGTGATGCCTTAGTAATCCCCTACTGCTTGTTAGGAATCTCAGTTAACTGCATTTTATTCAGTAAACTGGATGTGTGTCAATCATTTGGAGAGTCTCTTAGTACCATCCCAGTCCTAGGGACACCTTCATTGAGCAGCACCTATAGCTGTGAACTCTCTATGTGGTTCCAGGCAGGTGACTGCTTTGCAATAGGACCAGGCTCAACCCATCTGGATCTGAGCAGAGTATAGAGAAAGACCAGAAGCCCAGGAGAGGGTGGTGACTGGGGCACAAGGTTGTTTGAGCATTGCCACTTATGCTGACCTGTGACCTTTGTACCTCTCCCTCTTCTGAGAGACAAAAGCTAGCTTTCTGCAACTGATGTGGCCAAGGCTAAAGGCATGCATTTGTAACTCATTGCCATAGAGGCTCCACAGTGAAGATGGCCTGAGGCTTCTGTGATGCCTGGGCCCTGGGGACATGTGGAGGTACTAGAACAGGTGCTCCAGTGGCAGGTGATACTCTTGTTACCACCCTGCCGTTTGCACTTTGCAGTGTATTCTACAGAACCTTTCTTCCTACGCTAATCTAAAGACTGGATTCATTCACTATGTGCCCATACTTTCTTTCCCTCTACACTTTCTATAGCTTAGAGCACTTGAGCATGCAGGAGGCCCTCTCCCCACCTGCAGCACAGAAGCAAAGGGTTAAATACAAATAATAAGAGTCTCTGTGGAGCCAGGTACGGTGGAGCTTGCATGCCTTGTAGTCTGTGTATTGGTAGGTGGATGTGAGGGATGGGAGGTGGGTGGAGATGGGAATGGAAACAGAAGGATCAAGACCAACCTCGTCTATATTATGGATTTGAGAGGCCAGGTTGGGTTATATTATACTATGAAACCTATCTGAAAACAAAACAAAATACAAGGACCTGCCCACATTCATAGGAGCTCTGAGACTTCAGCGTAGCTGTAATACCAGCCTCTTGGAGCTTTGCTTTGCGATACTAGGATACATCCTCAGCGATACTTGGAGACCAGTGCCGAAGTCACAAGACCCAGAAACCTGTCCAGGGAGGCGTGCATCTTTGGGCTGAAGTCTCCAGGATAATGCCGGGCAAGAGTCACCAGCAGGCAGTGGCTAAAGAACTGAAGAAAGAGAGAAAACCGACCCGCCTTGCATTTATCTCCCTCCCACACCCAGACACCCAGACCCGAAGGAACCGGCACCTGCAGCACCTGCAAGTGCAGCTCAACCCCAGGACTCACCTGGAAGTTAGCAGGGTCCACGCCGAGCTTGTGAGCATGGAGATCGCTGAGAGCAGACAGAGAACCAGGCAGGTCGTCCAGGTGGTGGGCAGCAAGAGTCAGTGCTTCTGCCACCTTTTGGCCATGGACTTTAACCTGGCTAGAGCCGGGGCTCAGGTCCAAGTGTGGGAAGTAGGCTTTGGTGGAGGGGAAAGCCACGAAGGTCCTGTGGGGAAGATTGAGTTGGGTGCATGCAGACCGGGAGGTGTAAAGAGCCCACCTTTGTCCTGCCGTCCCTTGGAAGGTGAGCCCGAGGACGGCTGACTGGGTCCGTACCTCTCCAAGGCCTCAGTCGTGTAGACTCCGACGTTGGTGCTCATCTTCTTCCACAGCGCGAGAACCAGTGCACGGTCGGTCTGGGTCAAAGCCATCTTCACTGAGCTGTGGCCTCGCGCTGTGCTCTGCTCCCCAGCTGCGAGCAAAGATGCCTGGAAACCCAGCGTGCCGCCAGGGGGCGCTTCAGCGATGCAGGTCGCCGAGGTGTTCCCAGAATCTGGTTCAATGTTGACTTGCAGCCCTTTGTCCTCCCCAGCCCCAAAGCCTCACCTTTTAAAAGTATTTACTGTATGGACAATGGTATCCAATATGTAATACGTATTGCAATGGATTTTAGTGTGTATTTTGGCACTGCCGATTTATCTTGCCTCCTGAGTCCCTAGGATATTTATTCATAGGCAGTCTTTTCTCACTCACTATTGAGTGTAAAGAATTGCTTCTTCTTGGAATAACTCTCCCCCGAGGAGCCCATAACCATACTTAGGTCTACCTTAATTTTTCCTGGAGCATGTCTGTTTTCACTAAATCCCACATAGTTCAATCTACATTTAAAGGGGCTGGAGAGGGCTCAGCAGTGAAGAACACCGTTGTTCCAGAGGACCTGGGTGTGATTCCCAGCACTCACACGGCAGGTCACAACTGTCCATATCTTCAGGTCCAGTGTATCCAAACCCTTCTTCTGTCCTCCACAGTCATGCAAGTGGCGTACAGACATTCATGCTGTCAAAACACCCATATGTGTAAAATAAAATTTAAAAAAGTTAATCTACTTTAAAAATCCCTTTAATCTGGACATGGTGGCACAGGCACAGGTGAATCCCAGCACCCAGGAGTCAGAGGCAAAGGGATCTCTGTGAGTTCAAGACCATCCCATTCTAAATAGGAAATTCCAGGCTTTCCAGAACTACATAATGAGTCCCTGACTCTATGCTGCCCCACCCCCAAAATTCCTTTTAATAAATTCCAACTCAGCTTCAAAAATATGTCTTTCTTAGCGTTGTGGTAATTAACTGGATGAGAAATATTATATGCCCCGATCCCAGGACACGTTCCTTGGGGACAATAGTCTTTATGGGTATCTGTAATGTGTCTCAGTGATGACAGCAAGAACATCGATACACTCATTCGGTGCTACGTGGCATAGTGCACTAATGACCTTATTTTTACGCCTCTCTGTGTGGTGTGTGTGTGTGTGTCTGTGTGCCTGTGTGGTGTGTGTGTGTCTGTGTGTGTGGTGTGTGTCTGTGTGTGTGTCTGTGTGTGTGCATCTGTGTATGTGCGTGTGTGTGCATCTGTGGTGTCTGTGTGTGTGCGTGTGTGTCTGTGTGTGTGTGTGTGTGCGTGTGTGAGTGTGGTGTGTGTGTGTGTCTGTGTGTGTGTGTGTCTGTGTGTGTGTGTGTGTGTGATGTGTGCTCCACCTCCCAAGTTCTGGGATTAGAGGCATGTGCCAGCCACAAAGCGCTGTGAATTTTAGTTGTCTGTGATGTGTATGAGTCAGTGTTCATTCCCAGTGTTATGCAGATCATCACTGCTATCCATTTCCAGACCTTTTTCCTCACCTAACTAGAACCTCCAGCCCACTAGCCATAACTCTTCAACCCTCTCCTAAAGCCCCTGCTAACTAGGAGGCTGCTTGCTGTCCCTATAGATTTGCTCATTTTTGATATTTCACAAACATGAAATCATGCACTCTGTGGTCTTTGCTTTAATGGCTTCTTCCACTCAACATATTTTTTAGGGCTCAGCTACATAGTATAAAATATTTACTCTTTTGTGTCAATGACTGAAGAATATTCTACTGTGAGGTACAGATATAGCTCAGTTAGAATGTAAGTAGAATGTTTGTCTGATATGTGCATATGTATGTATGTACATATGGTTGTACATATCCAGCCCTGAGTTCAATTCCCAAGCATTGCACAAACTGAACATGGAGGTACATAACTGAAATCTCCACACTCAGGAGTTAGAAGGAAAGGGATCAGGAGCTCAAGTTCATCCTTGGCTACATAAAGCATTTGAGCCCAGCCTGGGCCAAATGAAGATCTATGAGAAATAAATAAATAGAGAGAGAGAGAGAGAGAGAGAGAGAGAGAGAGAGAGAGAGAGAGAGAGACAGAGAGAGAGACAGAGAGAGAGACAGAGAGAGAGACAGAGAGAGAGACAGAGAGAGAGACAGAGAGAGAGAGTAGACACTTTTGGATTATGCTACCTGTTGCGTTCCTACATGCTCATATGATGTCTCTCCATTTTTAGCTGTTTCTCTAGTAGAGTCTATACTGGAGTACAAGCAATGTTAAGGCCATCACTTCCTGAGAGGGTCTGTGAGAGGGAGTCCCAGAACATGATTATTTGGTTCAGGGAGAAAAGACATAACACTGTCAGTGGAGGGCTTGGAGTGGACTGCTGCCAAGTCTGCTACTGCTCCAGACCCCGAGCCTGCTCTACAGAGAGAAGGCATGTGTGTGTGTGGAGGTATCCCACTATGCCTCTGTGCCCTGAACCCCGTCTTTACTGTGGAGAGGGACGTCATTGCAAGGCAGATAAATGCGTGCCAAGCTTGCCCCAAAGACTGGGTGTTCCTCTCTGCATGGTGCTCAGATATCAGTGTCCAAAGAGTGTGCCTGAGGTGTGGCACCTGCATAGACTTGTTTGGTGTTTGCAGTTGCACCGTGCACCCCCAGTTTCATTCATATTGTGCTTCTGGGGTTCTAAGGGTGTCTACGGGAGGGTAAAGGACGAATCAGTATCACTCTGGAAAAGGAAGGACTGGACCAGCCACCCACTGGGGAGTCCTGGAAATTTTGGTTGTTTTTGTGGTGTGTGTGTGTGTGTGTGTGTGTGTGTGTGTGTGTGTGTGTGTGTAATGAAGGGTAGCAGTAGGGAAGGAAAATTATTCCAGCAAACTTATGTCCAGCCTGGTGGGAAACCCGGTGTAGGAGTAAACCCAGCCAGATACTGCAGGACAGGACATTGTCCAGAAACCCTGGGCAGAGGACTCTGCTTGGCCCCTCTTCTCTTCCCTCTACTTCCCCTTCTTTCCTCCCTGCTTTTGACTGGCTTTCTGCTTCAGCACAGGGGACCTCAGTCCCAGTCTAAGGATGTGTCCCCCCAGGCTTCCCCTCACCAGTCGGGACACCTTTGCAGATGCAGACAACCCAGTCACACAGGCTTCTTCCTACTTAGGCTTTATTCAAAGACCAAGAGGTACAGGTGCGAGGGAGGGAGGAGGGCCTGGCCAGAAGGCAAGCCCGCAGGACGCAGCCCCGGGGCGCCAGTTTAACGGTACTTGGAGGTCAGCACGGTGCTCACGGACGCAAAGAATTTGTCCAGAGAGGCGTGCACAGCGGGGGTGAAGTCGGCGGGGTGGTGGTTGGCCAGGGTCACCAGCAGGCAGTGGCTCAGGAGCTGCGGAGACAGGAAGGGTCAGTCCTTGGCAGTAAACACCCACCTAGTCAGTCGCCTGGGCCCCTTTGTGGAACCACTGTGTTCCCTGCCCTGGGCACGAGGGACCCCCACGCCCTCCCTGCGGGTCCCAGACCCTGTTACACCATCCCACCCCACCCACGCCCAAGCCGCCTTCAGACCCGAGCACACACCTTGAAGTTGACAGGGTCCACACGCAGCTTGTGGGCGTGCAGGTCGCTCAGAGCGGACAGGGCACCGGGCAGGTCATCGAGGTGGCCAACGGCATTGGTCAGGGCGTCTGCGACCTTCTTGCCGTGGCCCTTGACCTGGGCAGAGCCGTGGCTCACATCAAAGTGAGGGAAGTAGGTCTTGGTGGTGGGGTAGACAAAGAACATCCTGTGGGAAGAAGGCGGGAGGAGTTGAGGCCACAGGAAAGCTCAGTTAGGGGCTGCAGGCTGAGCACCAGAACTGCTTTGGATCCCACGACCCTTCCAGAGCAGAGACCCGGCCACACCTCTCTAGGGCCTCCGCGCCATATTCACCGGCGTGGCCACCAATCTTGCCCCAGGCCTCGGAGATGTTGGTCTTGTCCTTCGCAGAGAGCACCATGGTGATTCCTTCCTGAGTCTGTCAGGGTCAGAAGTGTGTTGAACCAGCAGCAAGCTGCACTTATATACCTGCGGCGCCTGGGACACGCCCTCGGGACTGCCCTCATTGGCTGGCCAGGGCGGTGCGCTGCAGACCAAGGCAGGCAGGGGGCGCCCGCGGTTGGCGAGGAGGCCATGGGTCTCCACCGTGTGCAGGAAACCCTTATCACCTGCTGGAGTGCTTCTCGCCCCTTCATTTGTCCCCAGTGATGGGTGTTTGGGAGAAATGAGGGTCCCAGTGCCTTTCGCAGAGAAGGAAGTCGCTCTGATCAGCCTGAGCAGTGCCCATCCCCCTCTACCTTGCACTGGGTCCCAGCTTCTCAGCTCTGCTTCCTAACCGCCCCTGCCCCCCACATGCCCTGCATGGCTCCACACTCTTCTTCTGGGAACAAGAAGGGTAAGATGCTAGGGACCCACAGAAACCCTTTCCCTGTCTTTCCCCTCTCTGTGTCTTCTCCTCTCTTCCCTTTTTCTACTCTCTCCTCTCCTGGCTCCTCCTTTCTTTTCTTTCCCTCTCCCGTTTTCCTCTTTTGTGTGGACAGGTTTTGCTCTGTTCAGTCCAGGCTGGCCTGGTTCCTTTGACTCGAATGATCCTCCTGACTCGGCCTTCTAAGTGCAGGAGCGGATCGCCAGACTCTGACTTGCATCCAGCTGCCCAGGGCTCCCATGGATGAAAAGCAGAGAGCTGAGTGCTGGCTTGGTGTCACACATGGGGAACCTCGGGGTCTGGCCGACTGAGGCAGGAGGATTGCTTGAGACCCTTCTTTATAATAGCAAATAGTAGCAAAGAAGCTGGGGGTGTAACTGGATGGCAGAATGTTTACCCAGAATGAGGAAGGTTCTGGATTCAGTTCCAGCACTGCAAGAATAAACAGAGCATGAGGCATTGGTCAATGAAACTCCTGGGCTCAGTTCCACAGTCTTTGGCTTGTGGAGAGGGTTGACAAACACTTTTTTTTCTTTCTGTGCTGTTAGTGATTTTGAACTTATGACCTTCCTTCTTCCACCTCTTAAATTGTGAGATTACAGATTGCACTAAAACACCTAACTTATCTGGACAATGGTGGGGCATTCCTGTAGTCCCAGCACTCAATAGGCAGAAGCAGTCTGATCTCTGTGATTGAGGCCAGCCTGATGTACAGAGGGAGTTCCGAGACAGCTAGGGCTACACAGAGAAACCCTGTCTTGAAAAAACAAACAAACAAACAAACTTACTTAGTTATTTTCAAGCTGAGCCTCTCCTTGAATTAGTTCTTCCTCTGCCTCAGTCTCCACAGTAGCTGGGACCACTACCATGAAGTCATATTTGCTGTGATCTGTGTTGTATGTTTAGCTGGTGTTGGGTCAATAACATTTTCAAGGAGGCAGCACATCTCAGAACTTTCCTCCTCAGTACCCTGAGACAATCCCTCTGGGAAGGCTGCGTTTTCCCACGCTATGGGAATGGTTCAGAGTCCTTCTCTCCAGATGTTTATGTTAGTCTTGGGGATGTAACTTAGGTCCTCAGGCTTCATGGAAAGTGCCTTTATTGGATGATCCATTCATCAGCCAGGCAATCTTATATACCATTTTATATCATACTTTCCCAAGGACTAAGGCTGTTTCGTGTCCATATAGCAATTGAGGGGGATGCTAATTTCCCCTCCTCTCTATGATCAGCTAGTGCTCAGGCAATTCAAGGTAACAGGTCCTCAGCACCAGCTACTGGAGTAGTTTAGGGAGCAATGAATAGAGCATCCCTTTTCAGATCTGGTATTGTGCCAGACTGAGTCTAGTGCTCTCTACATTATGGGGTGTCATTCTGGAGACCACATGTAGTCTCTGTTTACAAAACTTCAGGATCTTGCTCTCTTTAGCTTTTGTTCTTTGCCAACAACTACAGGAGCTCTGTGATTTTTGCCCCTCTGTCAGCCTGGGAGAACAGGACTTAGATGAGGACATCTGGTTGAAAACTACCCCGAAGTTTAAGTATCCAGGATAGGGTGAGGAGCTACTGTCCAATATTCACCATGCACTATGATATCACAATAATTTCAAAAGCCTAGTGAGTTCATAGTTATCTGCCTCGTAGCTCAGACATGCACAGGATTAACTAACTTGTCAATGTGATCTCTCTGCCACATTGGGGTCACCAACCCTAACTCTCCCCATGCTATGAGGAGGTCAGGGGTTGTTGCAGAGAGAGTATGCTAGGGAGGAACAGGAGTGAAACCTGGGCTGCCCAACTTTATCAGGCTTCAGGCTATACACTTGATCCCATGGGCTCGGTTCCATATTTGTTTGCCAAAGTCCAGGGGGCTGGCTGATGGAAGTCCCAACAAGGGAGATGAAGGGAGAACAAATGCATGTCTGCTCTGGGAATGGTATGGCACGCCGTGGTGGCAGATTTGACTTGGAAAAGAATACCCTCTCCTGCTACCATCCAAGCTCTCTTTCTGCCCCGTGGGCACTCCAGGGGCACAGGAGGACCAAACTAAATGGACGTTTAAGAATTCTAGGGGACTCTCTGAGGGATACTGAACTTCTTTGTCCTGCAATAGAGATGTAACCTGTCTAGTTTTCCAAAATGTCACACATCATTTAGAAGCCTCTGTTAATGGATGTGCACAGATTGAGCTCAGAGCATTAGCAGTACTTTTCGATCCCCTCTGCTTGCACCTCCTCAGCGAACTCATCCTACAGATGGAAGAAGGCCAGTACCACCCTGAAACACTGGAGTAGCAGTTTTAGGAAGAGGAATGGGTCAGCTGTTCAGCCACAGTAACACCTGTTGAACTCACCCAGCTGTGCTCTGGACCCTTGTGTAGGCTGGATAAGCTCACAGGAAAGTTGGTAGGGCCCACCCGAAGCACTAGAGAGAGTCAGATGCTGCACAACCAAGTACATGGCGCAAGTACGCACAGCCAGAGGCTTAGCTCCTCTCTGACAGACATTTATTTAGTTGCAGGAAATCTTGGTGTTGGGGTTCAGTGTGAATAGCCTGCCTCAGCCGGTTAGGGAGCAGGCAGAGCAGCCATGTGGCTCCCACTAACCCTAACACTGTTCAACGACCCAGAGAAACCTCAGGTGAGCCCTGTACCCCACATCCCTGACATGGTAAGGCAGAGGACTAAGATCTGATCCAAGACGTGTGTAGGCTGGTCCTGGGATGCTTCCTAAAGGCCCTAGAGACCCCGCCATTTCCACTTGAGTAACAGCTACACCCCTCAGTGTGCCTGGTGGCCCAGGCGGGTGGTCAGGTGCAATGTGGACGCACTCCCGGGTGCTGTGTTTGGCACAGGCGTGGGGTGCTCAGGGGGCCACGCGCCCCGCCTCCTCATCAGAGCCCCTCTACCCAGCTCGCCTTGATCCGCTGAGCTCAACAGGAACGCAGAGCCCCTCCACCTGTGCCCAGAGCGAGAACTGCGGATGGGGCTTCTGGCACGGGCTCGGCTTGCTCCTGTGTATGGATGTCTTTGCTTCGAACTCTCAGAACGTGTAATTACTCCTATGAAGGCTCTGTCAGGAGGGAGCCAACAAGAGGCCGGAAAGTCCTCTGTTCTTTTAAGGACAGGGACACCTCCTCCCCCAGCTGCTAGGGAGGCGGGAGCTGTGATGTCAGACTTTGGCGAATTCCTGACCACCCACCAATCTGTGCGAAGAGATTTAGAAAGGCGAGGAGAAAGCCCAGCTGGCCCTGGGATGCTCTGCTTCTTGCTTGCTGTGACTCTGGGGTTCTCAAAGACAAGACCCTCCCCCAACCACCCTAGGAATGTCTTTCTGGCAGTGTGTGACACTAGGACCTACAATGTTTCTGCGAAGCCCCTGTCCATCCCGTAGCGTCCCCATCCGGGTTTCCGTCCAAGACTGAGAACACAGGACCAGTCATTTCCATCTTCAACCATTTATTGGGGGCTACGAAAAAGACCCGAGGGAGGGTTCAGTGAAGGGGAGGAGAGAGAGCGTAGCCCGTCTCGGGGGTCGCGGCGGTGGTGCTTAGCGGTACTTCTCAGTCAGAACGGAAGACAGGATAGACAAGAACTTGTCCCAGGCTTCGTGGACTTCAGGCGTGAATTCAGCCGGGAAGCGTGCGGCCAGGGTGACCAGCAGACAGTGGGACAGGAGCTGCGGAGGAGAGAGGGGGAGACTCAGTGCACAGTGCCGCGGAGACCCCACCCGCTTTCCTCCTCTGTGTCCTTCTCCGCTGATCTCCCCTTCCATTCTCACAAACCCACCTTAAAGTTGACGGGATCCACACGGAGGATGTAGGCATGCAGCTCACTCAGCTTGGTCATAGCACTCGCGAGGTTGTCGATGTTCTTAACCGCGTCGCCTACAGCAGCCAAGATCTTGGAGCCGTGGGCACGCAACTGCTGCGACCCGTGGTGCAGGTCGAAGTGCGGGAAGTAGGTCTTTGTCTGGGGGTAGCTGCTGAAGAGCCTGGGGGTCGGGAGAAAGCGTTAGTTTTTTTGTGGGGGTTTCATTAGGCGGTAGGCTAGGGCCCTGACTCTTGCCTTGGGCTCAGATTTTAAGGGCTACACAAAGACCTACCAGACAGAAAAAAATAAAACAAAATAGTATTTCACGCAGTGTTTAAAGAAATAAAATTAGGGGCTGGAGAGATGGTTCAGTGATTAAGAGTACTGACTGCCCTTGAAGAGACTTTACAACCTCCTGTACCTAGGGTGTAAGGGATCTGATGCCACTACCTTCCATTGGCACCTGTGCTCACAGACACAGGCATGCACACACATACAAATAAAAAAAAATCTTAAAAAAAAAAACAACCAAAGATGATGCTACCATTTTCTGTTGCACCAGGCTCGCACATGGCAAGGCACTGCATCTACTCACTATCACTCGTCAGTTCATCCATTCATTCCTATTCATTCAACAAAGACTTGCGCAGTCATGTGGAGGGCTTCGGTGGGAGCCGTGGATGTCCGTCCGCCCGCCTCCTCTAGCTGCTCATCCGTTCACCTGGACGCACCCCCCCCACCGCCCCTGCTCCCACAGTCCTCTCCAGGCCAGCCACTCTTCATCACCG